GTTCCCAAAAGGTAACTGATTGTTTTCTCCTAATGTGCTTTTGATGAAGAGTTTGAATTCCATTTGATGAGCAAAGTACCTTATCTAATCTATCTGCAAATCGAGTCAGCTATCTTAGGGTCAAGAGCGTTTCCTGTTACATCAGTGATATAAAGTATCTTGGCTTTCCCACCCTTCATTCATATTTCTGCTCTTATGATAAACAAGTCGTTCTCCCTAAATATCATCATGATATCCGATAAGAGTTCAAGCACATCCTCTGGACATAATACTAAATCCAATCCTTACTAGGAGTGAGCATTTTTTCCCGAAATCGATAAAATATATAGCTTAATCTTCAATCACTTTTATAAAAAATAATCGGTTTTCTTCTTCATTTTAAACTCAAGCACTTTCTTTCTCATTGATTCTTTCATTATATCTTTTTATAATTCTTTGATTAATTGATTCACAAGCCAAATTAGACAATTGAGCAAATCTATACCTAAAAAAATTTATTTACAATATATAATTTCATTTCTAAGACGCGAAATTTTTATTTTGTTTTCAATGTGATTACATAGTTGTTGATCCGATCAAAACTTTTTATCTAGATGTCTATAAATTATAAACGATAGAACCAGAAGTTACAATAAATTTTTAAAGGGTGTCCTATTCAATGTAGGATTTTGATTTTGATGGAAGTTAGTTTAATCATTAGAGTACTATACAATTTATATAAGTTGATGATTGTTTGATGATAGTAACTTATATTATTTGGATATTATTTTTGAATTTGTACACTTAGTTTTCTTTTAATATTTGAATAGTATGCTCGATTTTTCTATATTTTGTTAAAAGTATTACGTTAGTAGATTTTTTAATTTTTTATTAGTGAACATTTTATTTTAACATTTTCAATATAAAGAATCGGATCAGACCGAACTGGAACCGATTGGTTAGGTTCTGATTCGATTCTATAGCTAACTATGGAACCAATGGTTCCATTTCTAAAATTTTCATTGATATTCGGTTAAATTCTCTTTAAAATCGAATCGAACCAAACCGTGCCCACTCCTAGTCCCTACAAAAGCATGTATTTAGACCACAGTCATTTTATTTCTGCTAGAACTTAACCTAAGAGGCACTCCTTTCAATGACCGCTTTTAGACACTGCATGATGCACTGGAAAATAATATGCTGACAGAGTAGGGAATACTTGGCCCCACGCTTGAAGTTTGACATAGCCATCTAGCTACGCTTTACGTTTTTCAAAACATAGATAATATACAATATCCATCTAATCAAAAATAGATTATTATTTTTTTATTAAACATGTAGAGAACATATTAAGGATTGTAAAGTTATGGATATGCACTTATTTAGTGGATTCATAATTGAGATTACCTGATCTCATTTCTTTAAAATTCCTATGCACTGCAAATTATCCTAATTGGAAAAGCCCGTGTGAATGTGTTCTCTTTTGTCAAATATCCGCAGTTAACCTATATTTCTTAGTAAGAAAGACGTGGATCCAACCACTGTCGTAATCCTATGATTTTAATCAATGATGACCTACAAAAAAGATTAGATTAACATGCTATTAGCCAAATTCTAGAAGAGTCGTACTCGTACTCCGCCGATCATGTCATAAATACAATAGAAATGACATGAAGAGATATTATATGATGAAAAGATTGAACAAACTTTTGTTAAAATCTTTAAATAAAGAATAATGTTATTTGCAGTCGTTCATTACCATAGTTGTCCTACATGACATACACGTAGCGGTTAATCTTATGCATCAAATCACTAACTGTCACATGTATATCATATAGGACGACTACGATAGTGAACGACTACAAATAATATTATTCTTGAATAAAATATTTATTCACGTACTAAACAGTTGTGCATAAATTTTAGGGCCGTCAAACTCGTTGGAAAAAATTGAGCCCATTCATAAAACTAAAGATGTACTTCCCACCCACCAGACACCCACATTTCTCAATGGAAGCTTCCCTATTTACTTTTCAGGTAGAAAGGAATTGAAACATGCGCATGCGGTCAAAAATTCTTCATTTCTACCTTTGATTTTTCGTATAACATTGGACCACCAATTTTGATTTCTAATCGCAACAACTTTGAAGTTTCTGCCCTTCCTAGTTGTCAAAATAGATATTATAAGTTAATCTAGATTTATTTATAAGCTAATTAACCAAAGTGAGACGTTTAATATATAATCTTGTATCTTGCTTGTTCAATAATCAAAATTACTGGATTATATCAATAGGATATATACAATTAATAATTCATTAATCCAACACAAAAAAAAGGCTGAAACTTAGAGGTACCAAATCCTATATATCAATTAAATGCCTCTACTAAATTTCATTTATTACGTTCTTTAGCTAAGGGACCATGCTTCACTAACAGGGAGTCTGACCAACCCCCTGACAGAACCAATAGGTGGGGGAGGACCCATTTTTTGGCCCAGGACCCACCCCTTTTGGTGGGGTTCTGTCAGGGGGTCGGTCAGAACCCCTGTTGAAGAAGCATTTTCCTTAGCTAAGTGGTCAAGATGTACTGTATATATGTTTTCTTTTTTTTTTTCTTTTTTTTTTTTATGTCAGACTTTGCCAAAAATTTCTTCACTAATTTTATATCCATATTTTTTTCGATCTTCGATAGGAATTTCAGTTTTAACAATGAAATAGGTTCTCACAGAAACTCTATTTTTAGTCGTTGACGATATTGAACAATGAGTGATTGGTGGAGACCGATATTGGTTGCTTGCCATTTGCTAGTTTTGATGCACTGTAAAAATAAGTATATGCATTTTTCTATATACAATAATAAAAAACACTAAAAATACCAGAAAATGATAATAGTATTTTTTGCAAAACTATTATTTACGATCCAATTATCTCTATCAAAGACGATTTACAAAATTTGTTGTCAATGAAACATAGTGTTTGTGTTTGGGTAACGGAGAACAAGAAGAATGAGGGTATTCTTTTTCTCCATTTGCAAAGCAATAATGCTTGACTTTATGACATTTCAAATATCTGTTTTAATTAATGATTTAATTAGTAAACATACCTAAAGAATACAGCTACTCAAACAGGAGCATTTGACAAGATTAGGTAACAGGTGCTATGTGACAGTACCTGTGTGGCTCTCTTTCTCTCTTTTATTATTTTTTTTTCAAACTGTCCAATAAATATTTAAAACGTGTCTCCTATTTTTAAATCCTGACGTTATCCCTATTTGTGTAACAAAACTGCATGCCTAAATAGTGATAGGGCTGCGTTTTCTGCCTAAATAGTGATAGGGCTGCGTTTTCTGCCTAAATAGATGGTCCTCTTTCAACATTCTAATACACGTGTTCCGGTGCATTCAAAACCCTAATCCCAGCTTCTATTCTCCATGATCAAATATTCTTTGACCCCAATTTTGAAAAACTCATATTTTTAGAAACTCATTTTCAATCACACATTTTATCAATTTTTATTAAAATATACTAAAATTCTAATTGTTAGCCAAACTAGGACTGAACAACGAAATCGTCAAACTGCAAAATCGAACAGAAATCGTTTTTCTGAAACTGTTGATTTTGGTTCCACATGGATCCGTCAATGTTTTGACTTTGGATCGAACCAAACCGATCCAAAGTGGTTTGGTTTAGGTTTTAATTTTTGCAAACCGTTTACACAAAAAAATCTAAAAATAAATTAGTCTAAATTTTTATTTAACCCAATTAAAACTTAACACATTTCAGTTAAAAAGATACATCCATATTGGACATAATTCAATTCAAAAATTATACATCTCAATTAGTTAATTAAATCATATCCAAATATCTATTAGTCATCACAACTGTAAATGTAAAACCCTCAAATTGGGTAAAGTGTTGAACAACTGCAGCTAAGCCATATTCATTGACTCTTTATTGCAATTGAGCAGACAATTAAATCTGAATTTTAATTCAAACTTACACAATTCATTTTCTTCTACTAATAATTTTCTCAAATTTTGCTTGACTTCAAGTCAGATTGCCCAAATTATTATTATTTTTTTGTTGGTAATTTTTTTATATTTTTATTGGTAGTTTTGTTGTTTTGTTCTAATAATTGTTGAGCTCCCTTGAAGTAACTCGCTAATATTTGGATGGAGTAGAAGTATTGGATGATTCACAAAAAGTCACAGAAGTTAGATATTATTGTCTTTGAATTTTTTATTCATTTTCTTTTATTAGTTATTTTATATTATTTAACTATAATAAATGAATTCATGTACTATATTAATATTTATGAAAAAAATAAATCATGTATTACAATTGCATATGGACATCATTAGTACTGACTAAGAGTTTAAAACATTTATATCGTGTTGTTGCATTATAATTATTATAATTATAATTAATTATTATAATTATATAACTTTTATTTGTAATTTTTTTAGTAATACAATTTATGTATTTTAACATGAAATTTTAAACTAGTAATTATGATTTAACTTATTTGATATATATATATTAATTTTTTCATTGTTGAACCGTGATTTTAAACCGAACCAAACCGAAATAAATTATCTGGATTGGATTGGTTTGGTTTAGAAATTGAAGTGGTTTGGTTTGGTTTGAAAAAAAAAAAAAACTCCAAACCGTTTTGAATGATTTGATTTGAAAATTTGTTTTAAGCCATTCAAATCGAACCATGTTCACCCTTAAGCCAGAGACTTCTTGTATTTTAAAACAAGAAAATTCTAGGATGGATGTTCCACTGCATATATAGGCTTCTGGTATCACAAGATTCAAAGCAAACAGCCATCAACAATTAATTAACCCTTAAAATCGATAATATGTATAATTTGTTTCAAGTCCATATTTTTTATCCCTGCTATAATTAAGCTAATTCTTGATGTCCACTGTTTTTATTTCATCAGTAATTACCACTAATGGAAGTCTCTATCTTAATGATGAAGCCGCCATCCCTCCTTTTTTCCACCTTATCAGTTTCTCTCATGTATCTGGACTCACAATTCCATTTAACTTTTTCTTCTAATATTTCTTATGTTGAAACATTTGACGTTTTGTATACGGCATCTCTCTCAAGCCTATGTATAATATAGATATATGTACAATTGCTCATTTTACAGTACTAGAAATCCTGCCCAGCCTTCTTGGTTGCTCGCCATCAAGCCTACCTACTTCTAATGTTTTTTTAATTCTTCTATACTTATTTCTTGGATTTCATTTTCTGTTGTCCATAACTATATAAAAGAATTTTCTTTTAATGGAGAGTCATCCAACTCTTTTTCTTGATTCGTCTACCACAGTAGCAGCTGCACCTTTCTCCTCAAACATGACTAACTCTGATCATGCCCTAAATGGTGGATTTTATAACAGTAATGTCCCGGATAGATATATGGGTTTAAAGAGGGAAATCAATTTTCCTATAGCACATGTTAATGATCGCAAGAGCATTGTACCGATGGAAAATGATGTTAAATCTGGTAAGAAAAAGTGCGACGAGAAGAAAACCAGAAAACCAAGAATTGCTTTTCGAACAAGAAGCAAAGTTGATATACTGGATGATGGCTATAGGTGGAGAAAATATGGCCAAAAAGCTGTGAAGAACCAAAAATTTCCAAGGTAATCGCTTCCAAAAAATTCATATTAGTCCACGTTTTTGTTTAATTATTGATTAATTACTAAATCGATACTGACAAGCTAGATCTCCATTGAAATGTATATAATATCGGTCTTCTTCTATCTACAACAGAATCATTAATTCCCAGTATGATTAGGGTAATAAAATCAGTATATATAAAAGATTATTTTATCATTTTGGCTCTCTGAAGTGGGTAAATAGATTCTATTATTAGGCGACAGAAGTGTCCACCGGCTTTTACTAAAAGCATAAAATCACCTTGCAAGTGTGATATTTAGCAGATATCAAGATTCCAAAGGTCTTATTTGCTCCCACATATATAGGTAAAATTAAGTGGTTCTGTACAAATAAATTTGGTTTCTGCTTGTTCCTGATCTGATTACATCTTCTAGTTTGCGATTCTTCTTTTGATGCAAATCATTTACAAATTGCAAATTAGGTCGATCGTTTGTTGTATTTTTTATTTATTATTTTTTTTTTTAATGAGACGTTGTTGAGGCTGATATTTCTATTTAACTTAACCACCCATAGATCCTGTTATCTATGAAATACAACTATTAACTCTCTAGGACAAAGATGGAAGGATATGTGTATATATATGATGGCTTCACCATTTCTGAAGACAATTCTACTCTTTGCTGCCGTGGTCGAAGGTGAATGAACAACTGATATTGAATTCCTACAACCATATTGTCGGCTGCAAAAATTCATAAATAAATCAATTTCGGCCTTTGGATTATGAATAATTTTTAAAAAGGGAACGTAGATGCATGAATCTTCTTTTAATAACGTGGATAATTTTTCTCCACAATATGTTTGACACCAAATTGGTGCCTAAAAAGTTACATTCTGACCATTAATGTTAACAAGTATATATCAATTAAATGCATTGAGATATAAATAATGTAAGGAACTGTAGAATTTCATCAACTTGAGATAGAAACACCATAAAACAAAAGAGTCAATATATTTAACAATTCAGATCATGATACGACTCCTTTTGACAGAGTTTGAGAATGCAACTGTGGGCATTTACCAAGTGTTGGATATGTTACTGCATATTTGATTTAGGTACTATTTATTGAGAAGAATGAACTTACCGTCATGAATGAAGTTGTCCATTTTTACTTTTTTTGGAGCATGATTATTGTTATTTACCATTCCTCCACGTTGTGAAGTGACTCGCTAGGATGACATAGCGATTGGATCCTGTTGAGTAGTCGTCGGTTAACGTCGTTTATGTGGGAAGAGATTTAGATCAGAGATAGATAGCATTACTCTGGTGAAGTTAGTGTGCCTACATGAATTAATTAGAATGACAATGCACAGACGATGTCACTGTAAATAAGTTTTCGCTAGCTTGTATTTGGTTTAAATGCTACAATTTAGCAAAAAGATTCACACAGATGAACCGATGAATCCCATTTATTGTTTGCAGAAGCTATTATCGATGTACTCATCAAGGGTGTAATGTTAAGAAGCAAGTGCAAAGAGAATCCATGGAAGAAAGCATTGTCGTCACAACATACGAGGGAATGCACGTGCATCCAGTAGAGAAAGTTAGTGACAATTTCGAACAAATTCTCAATCAGATGCAAATTTATCCTGCTATTTGATCAAGTTAATTAATAGTGAAGGATATGTATGTAGATAAGACGAACATTTTATATGAGAAATGATTATGATGCAACTTTGTTTAGCTTATACTAAAAACAAAAACATGACATATATATCAATTTCGTAGTAAACTTATCTACCAAATAATTGATATGTTATGTCAACGTTACTTAGCATAAGTTAAGCAACTTATTCTTTTCATACTTATATATGTAACAATTTGATTATATGCATAAAGAATTGAAAATATGTCCCCTAATTTTTGAGGTGTCAGATTTTAGTAAAATAAAGTTCTTTTTATTGTTTTTCTTGTGTGAATTGAGATATTAGAGCCTTCGATAGTGGACTGTGGCCCATGTGTGGGCCTTTCCTTACGTTAAAACATTTGTTCGCATGTGGGTTGCACTAAGGGCGAGTTTGACTGCCAATATTTTTTATGAAAAATGTGTATTTTTTTTCACCTAAATTCTTATTTTTGTTGCTTTTTGATTGTCATTTTTGCCATGGAAAACATTTTCCTACTTTTGGTCACATAATTATATTTTCCTCAAAATCAAGAGAATAGGATTTTATTTTTCATGAAATTTACTCTCTTTCTCTCTCACCTCTATTCACTCTCTCTCATCTACCCACCAATAAAAAATATACAAGTATAATATTTTTTAAGTTGAAAATTAAATCAATCAAACACATTCAATTAACAATTTTCATGCAAATAAATTTTAGGCAATTGAATTACCTAGAATTTATTTTCTTTCCATGCAAATTTTGTGTTTGCAATTCAACGCACCCTAACATTTTCTTCAAGATAATGTACTAACTTTGACGAATTGAACATTGGCTTGTCCAATTTAAAAACTTTAGTCTTGTAATAAGGGAAAATTGAAACAGAGGCTCCAAACATTTCAAACATTAGCAGACTTTTTCCAAATCTTTAATTTGTTGCAACTGTCACCCCAAACCTTGCGAAACGTTGCAGTAGAGGCCCCTTTAGATGGCTTTCATCCAAATGTCTGTTAGTTGACAAAGAAATTTGACTTTCACCATATTTTTAATTTTTTTGAAAGGAAAAATTTGTAACTTTCTGTTTACTACATTAAAATAAATTAAAAATTAAATTAAAGAAAGAAAAAATAAAAAATAATAATAATAACTGTGTATCATCTTCTCCAGCCCCTCTCTCTCTCTCTCTCTCTCTCTCTAGAAATCGGCACTACGCAATGGCTTCCCGAAGGCTGTTAGCCTCAATTCTCCATCCCTTCACCTCTTGCAACCGTATCTCGAGTTCCATATTCTCCGCCCCCAAGCCCCGGCTATGCACCTCACCAACCTGTCACTTCCTCAATATTGCTTAGTACGCCACCACTACAGCTGGCCAATCAGATCCATTGCTAAGGACCTTCTTTTTGAGTCCTTTGTTCGCAGGCATGGATGGGGCTGGCAAGGCGACGACTGTTCTGCTAGTGATGCGACAGATCTAGTCGCAGCGGATCACAATTGCAAGGCCAAGAACGCAGATGACTGCCCAAAGTAGAGCCACAAGTATTATTATGTAATTTGAGTTGAGAGATTCGATTGGTGGAGGTGAATCCTTGAACGACAGTGCTTGCAGCGGCGGCAACGCGTTTACTCATTTATGCAAGCCTATTTGCCAGACTTTAATGACATCTTCAACATGATAAGCAAGGTCCCTGATTTTTATTTCCAACGATTTCACTTTTTGCTGGTGTATTGGAATCGTTTTACTAAAAAATATTTGGTCGATGGTCGGTGGCAATGGCGGGGAAAGATGATACACTATTATTATTATTATTATTTCTTTTTTTTTTAAATTTAATTTTTAATTTATTTTAATGTAGTAAATGGAAAGTTACAATCCTATGCTTTCAAAAAAATTAAAAATATGGTGAAAGTCAAATTTCATGGTCAACTAACAGACATTTAGATGAAAACCGTCCAAAGGGGCCTCCCTTGCAACGTTTTGAAAGGTTTGGGATGACAGTTGCAACAAATTAAAAATTTGGGAAAAGTCTGCTAATATTTAAAAGGTTTGAGGCCTGTGCTTCAATTTTCCCTTGTAATAATTCGACTTTTGTAATTGAAGACTTGGGTATTAAACAGTTAGTGGAATGACTTCATACCAATAGGCAGAACTTAGTTGATCAAGAGAAACACACGATCCTATTTATTTCATTTTGACGAATTGACTTCTTAATTCTGGCTTTTGAGTTAGAGAGTTCTAAAGAGTTTACTCTCAGTGGCTAGGATTTCAAGTCTGCTCCTTCACTTTTGAATATCTCATTCGAGATTGTGGTCCGATGTTTTTAGCCTTTAATACATGTATTTTGTTTAGACGAGAGGGTGGTTATGCTGTAATTTTCTAAGAAGAGATCTGATATTTCTTGTATGATTCATGTAAGATCTGCTGGTCTTGTGGATCTCTTGAACCATATTTGTGTATTTGTTGAACTTTGTAACCTTCGTTGCCAAATTTGAGGCTTTATAGTGCAAAGGAACAATATCCATTTTAATGAATGTTCAACGGAGAATTAGGTGTTAAAAAGGTTACCGAACCTTTGGGGCTTCAGTCGAAAAATTCTCTGATCTCAATCTTTAATTTCTGCAAGTTTTATTTTTTGTTGTGTTAAAAATCGTTTGTATCTTGAGTTTATTACCATGTATTTGGACTTTTTTCACGATTCTTGAATTCGCAAGAGATTTGTGTTTACGTATACATTTCCATCATAGATTTTTTAGGGTAAATATGCTTTCCGCCCCTCCCTCCCTCTACAAATTCCATTTCAAGCTGCACAACTTAAAATCAGTGTTCTAAAAAAGCGTTTGAATGCGAACAAAATGCTTTTTCTTGGAAAGCTTTATTATTATTTTTTTTTTCCTTTTAAAAAAATTATTTGACTTAAAGTTATTAACTTTCTTTATTTTTCAAATGCTTTTATTTGACTATAGTTTCAAGTTTTCAAATATCTTTATCTGTACAAAATTCAAAAATGCTTTATCTGATAAAAATTTAGATAAGACTCAAGTTACGATACTATCTATATTATGTATTTATGATTCCGAGACATCTTTTTGTAGAAAATTTTGAAAATATGTATGAAATTCTTATAAATCTACGAAGTAGTACATGTCTAGTTGAAACTAAAAAAATAGTTTAGCTTTTATGTTTTGAAAACTTGAGTATACTTAATTAATTGAAGGAATTATTAAGTAAATATAGTATTATATAATTTTAGATATTTGATATGTATTATTTTGATTATTAAATAATTTTTAGAATAATTAAGTATTTAAAATGATAATAAAAATAAGTAACCATTTTTCACACCCAAAACTCGTTTAGACTCACCTAAACTTGTAAAACTTGAAACTTAATCTCAACATCTAGCCACATTTTATGCTTTTTTTAACACCGCTAAAATAATGCAAAGAAATCTTATCAAATATTATTGACATTACTTGAAATTAATTTAAGAAAAAGGAATATATTTGGACTATCAAATGTTGATTCATGAAGTGAGTCCTTTTTTATTCTTTTAGAAAAGTAGAGTATTAATCCATAATATACTCTGCATATTCTCATGTTTCTTCTCGTTAGCTTTCACTTACATACTAGTCCAACGGAGAGACAGAGACTTACAGTACCTTTCCTCAATTTTATGAATTTTCCTTTTTCTTTAAGCTCACGAATTAATGTTCATTAATTGTATCTTTTGGACAACAAAATTTGTATGCAACAAATAAATTGGTAGATTATTTTTATACGAGTGATGCTACACCACTAGGTCAGACCTTCACAGGTTCTCTACAAGCTCTCTCAGAGGTGATAGGTCAGCCTTTTTTATTTCAATTTTTTAATGCATGAGGGTCTGACGTGGGGCCCACCTCATTGTGAAAACCTGTACACAGCCTGGTAAAATTCACTTGGCACACCAGTATTTTTGTTTTTATATGGTACAGCAAACAACCCCTCACTTGCATAAAACATTTTTATCCTCATTCCCTAAGGCTTCTGATGTGATCCAGGAAGCACAAGTACCAAAGTTAAGTCCAGGGTCGAGCCTGAGGAAAGATCCGTTGATAGTCGAGGGGCCAATAACACGATCGAGGGCCAAGCGCGTGAAAGAGGCGATGTGATTGCTCATCAAAGCAACGGTTGATGAAACAATGTTCGGGATGCAAAATGGAGCAAGTTTCGTGTTGGGGACGAAGGTCGAAGAGTATTGGATCAACGTGTTTAAAACTTAAGAAAACGGAGCTAGAGCATTAAATCATGCGGCTGAACAGGTCTAAAGTCCTGCAGTCGCATACACCCAGCAGAAGTCCTAAAGTCGCAGACCAATTGCACTATCCGACCGCATGCTCTAAAGCTATGCGGCCGCATAGGCCATGTCCGAGGCGAATTTTTTCAAATTTCGCGTTTTTTCCTTATTTTAATAGAATTTCATTATTAGTAGATTTTTACTATAATTAGGCTATTGCGGACGAATTTTGCATTACTCTTAAACATTTTTCTTAGTTTACTTAGATTCTCTAAAATAGTATAAATACATTATTCTTTATTGTAAAACATTACAACTCTCATATTATTGAATATTATTCGTGAAACATTAATTGCTTTATCTCGTTCTTCGTTGAACAACTTGTGAATTTATCAAGATTAATCTTGTAGCGTTCAAATCAACCGGGTGAGATTCATTTAAGTTGCGTAATCAAAAAGTCCGCATATTGCTGACGATTCGGGTTGCTTGATTCCAGTTTATTGGGTTTAATCCAAAACCTTATCTTTGACTTTCTTGGTTTTGATTCTCAATTTGTTGTAAGATTGGTAGTGATCGCGTGACGCGGATTCGCATCAGTTGGTATCAGAGCTTATGCTCCAATTCAAGGTTATATCCCTTTTAAATTCTTGTTGAGTCTTTGTTTCTAGTTTTTCTTCGTTCTTCGCGTTCTTCTGTCCAGTAAAATTCTTGAATCTTTGATCCGAATTTTTTTCGTCTAAAATTTCAAAAGTTGTTTTTGAGCTCATTTAGAATCCAAAACAACTTCCGTTTCTTCCGTTGGTGTCGTAGTTAAAGCTCGGGTCAAAAAAAAAAGCGTACTGTTCATCGTACACTAGCAGAAAAAGAAAAAAAAGTTAAAAAAATACTGTTCACTCTACTGTTCAAAAAAAATTATTTATT